TTACCAACCAACTCCACCGAAATCTTCAGAAACTGAGATGAAGTATATGCTTGAACAGATTCTAGAAGGACAACAGAAGATGACAGTAGACTTTAATGGGAAGATGAATGCTCTATACACTGATTTGAATGGTAAGATAGAAGCCTTGAACAACCACACCAAGAAGTTGGACTATGAGTTTACTCAGGCAAACCCGAACAGACAACCATGTTTTCTCCCTGGAAAGACCGATGTCAATCCTAAACATCCTTGCAATGCAGTGACCTTGAGGAGTGGTAAACAGCTCAAATCAGTGTTGAAACCAGGTTTGACAGTAGAAGATGTCATTGAGCTTGATGAGATTGAAGATGCAGATTTTGTCGATCCGCAGGAGGTGTCGCTCGACACCACCCATGGGTGTTGTTCGACACCACACGTTTCTGACGGAGAGATATCGACCAAGATCGATACACAACCCTCGACACCAAAGACAAGTGTCGACCGACACCACACTTGTGTCGATCGACACCAGTCTCGGACATAACCAGTTTCAGCTTCACCGCCTTCCACGACCGAGACCAGAGTCTACAAATCTACAGTCCCTTTTCCTAAGAAGTCTAAGAAGTCAAAACAGGGGCAAGAGGAAGAAAAATACAGGAAGATATTGGAGTCACTCACAATTGAGATGCCTTTTCCTGACTGCGTGCAGACTTCGCCAACTTTCAAGCGGGTTGTAAAGAAGATGGTGACTAAGGATTTGTCTAGAGAGGAAGAGGTTATGATGGTCTCTGTACTAGTCAGCGTTGTGCTTCAGAATAAGATTCCAAGGAAGCTGTCAGATCCTGGAAGTTTCGTACTCGATTGCAACATTTTCAATAGGAGATTCCCGAGATCTTTGTGTGATCTTGGTTCCAGCGTAAATTTGATGCCTAGATCAGTTGCTATAAGCCTGGGTATGACTGATTTCACACCTACCAAGATCACTCTTGTCTTAGCCGATCGTTCAGTCCGCATTCCCGATGGTCTTTTAGAAGATGTTCTTGTCAGAATCGGAGAATGCTTGATTCCTGCTGACTTTGTAGTTCTTGAGTATGGTGAAGAGCCTAAGGACCCTCTTATCCTTGGGAGATCCTTCTTGGCTACTGCTGGAGCCTTGATAGATGTGAAGAATGGGAGGATTGGATTACACGTGGGTGATATGGTGATGACGTTTGACATGGATAAGCTAGTGAAGCGACCCACTATCGATGGACAGACATTCTATGTAGACAAGCTTTCCGAAGTTGCTGAGGATATGATACAAGAGATACGCCTTCTAGACCCTCTAGAGAGAGCTTTGGTAGCTTCAGCAGATGAAAGCGAGTCTTTAGATGATGAGGCTTCTGGGTATGTTCAGTTGATGGATGCTAGTGCGCCAGTGATGAAGCTGGTTCACCTAGAAGAGGTTGTTGAGCCTTCTAAAAAAGCTCCTGAGCTAAGTGATTGGAGTGCTGAAAAGGCCCCAAAAATTGAACTCAAGCAACTTCCTACGGGGTTGAGGTACACATTTCTTGGTGCTAATTTTTCTTATCCAGTCATTGTTAATGCCTTTTAAACAACGCAGAGCTCACGTTACTGCTAAGTAAGCTGCGCACTTTTCGCAAGGCTCTTGGCTACTCTCTTGATGATCTTTCAGGTATTTCTCCGGATTTATGCATGCACATGATTCATCTTGAAGAGGATGCAAAGGCGTCAATTGAACACCAGAGAAGGCTGAACCCGAATTTGCAAGAGGTTGTCAAGAAAGAGATCATGAAATTGCTGGAAGCAGGGATCATCTATCCTATTTCAGACAGCAATTGGGTCAGTCCGGTTCATGTGGTTCCTAAGAAAGGAGGGATTACAGTGGTTAAGAATGAGAAGAATGAGCTGATTCCTACAAGGACCATTACCGGGCACAGGATGTGTATAGATTACAGGAAGCTTAATGCTGCGACAAGGAAAGATCATTTTCCTTTGCCTTTCATTGATCAGATGCTGGAGAGGCTCGCAAATCACCCATATTATTGCTTCCTGGATGGGTACTCCGGTTTCTTTCAGATCCCAATACATCCCGATGACCAAGAGAAGACCACATTCACTTGTCCCTATGGTACTTTTGCATATCGCAGGATGCCATTTGGACTTTGTAATGCTCCTGCGACCTTTCAGAGATGTATGATGTCTATCTTTACAGACATGATTGAGGATTACATGGAAGTCTTCATGGATGATTTCTCAGTTTATGGGTCTTCTTTTAAAGACTGTCTTGACAACCTATGCAAGGTGCTAGCTAGATGTGAAGAGAAGCACTTGGTACTTAACTGGGAGAAGTGTCACTTCATGGTTAGAGATGGTATTGTTCTTGGGCACTGGGTTTCAGAAGCTGGTATTGAGGTTGATCGCGCGAAGATTGAGGTGATGACAACTTTGCAACCGCCGGATTCTGTGAAGTTAGTGAGGAGTTTTCTGGGACATGTTGGTTTCTATAGGCGCTTCATCAAAGATTTCAGCAAGATTGCAAGGCCACTAACTGTTTTGCTTTGCAAATATGTGAAGTTTGAGTTTACTGCTGATTGCCTTTCCGCATTTGAACAAATTAAGAAGGCTTTGGTGAGCGCTCCAATTGTTCAACCGCCAGATTGGGATCTACCTTTTGAGGTGATGTGTGATGCTAGCGATTATGCTGTGGGAGCTGTTCTAGGACAGCAGAAGGATAAGAAACTTCATGCTATCTACTATGCTAGTAGAACACTAGATGAAGCACAGAAGAACTACGCAACAACCGAGAAAGAACTCTTAGCTGTGGTTTTTGCTTTTGAGAAGTTTCGTTCTTATTTGGTGGGAGCGAAGGTGATAGTGCATACAGATCATTCTGCTCTATAATATTTGATGCAGAAAAAGGATGCTAAGCCACGGTTGCTGCGATGGATTCTTCTTCTTCAAGAGTTCGATATTGAAGTTCGAGACAAGAAAGGTGTTGAGAATGGAGTTGCTGACCACCTCTCAAGAATAAAGATAGAAGATAAGGTTCCTATAGATGAGTTTCTGCCGGATGAGAATGTTTATTCAGTAGAAATTGGTTCCCAAAAAGATCTTGAGAGAAAACGTCGAATATGTCTAACTGCAGTAGGGGTGTCGCTCGACACCCCAGAGTTGTCGTTCGACACCATGAACGAGCCAGACAATTCTCGACCAAATAGTGCACTTCTCGACACTTTCATTCGACACTTAGGTGTAGTGTCGATCGACACCACCACCGGTGTCGATCGTCACCCTTGGATTTTCGAACCAGAATCCAGTTTTGACGAGGACTTGGCTGCTGTTGGGACTTCTAATCATCCGTGCTATGCTGATATTGCTAATTATCTTGCTGCAGAGGTTGAGCCTGACAAGTTTAAAGGTTACACTAAGAAGAAGTTCTTGAGAGAAACCAGACGGTATTTTTGGGATGAGCCTCACTTGTACAAGCATTGTTCAGACGGGGTCTACCGGAGATGTGTTTCCGAGTCTGAGGTTCCGGATATTTTGTTTCATTGCCATGGATCAGAATATGCTGGACACTTTGCTACCTTCAAGACGGTGTCCACGGTTCTTCAAGCGGGTTTCTGGTGGCCTACAATGTTTCGCGATGCTCACGCTTTCATTACTCAGTGTGATGCTTGTCAAAGGAGAGGGAAAATCAGTAAGAGACATGAAATGCCACAAAACTTCATCCTTGAGGTTGAAGTCTTTGATTGCTGGGGCATTGATTTAATGGGTCCTTTTCCATCATCTTACGGGAATAAGTACATTCTAGTCGCTGTTGACTATGTCTCTAAGTGGGTGGAAGCTATTGCTAGTCCGAAGAATGATTCTTCAGTGGTTCTTAAGCTGTTTAAGACAATTATATTCCCTAGATTTGGAGTGCCTCGGATTGTTATAAGTGATGGTGGATCTCACTTTATTAACAAGGTTTTTGAGAAGCTTCTGCAAAAGCATGGTGTTCAGCACCGTGTGGCTACCCCATATCACCCTCAGACAAGCGGACAAGTGGAAGTTTCTAACCGGCAAATTAAAGAGATTCTAGAGAACACAGTTGGTCCAACAAGAAAGGATTGGTCAGCCAAGTTAGATGACGCGCTATGGGCATACCGGACTGCATATAAGACACCACTTGGGACCACACCTTTCCATCTGCTTTACGGGAAAGCATGACATCTACCAGTAGAGCTTGAGTACAAAGCAACATGGGCAGTCAAGAAGCTGAATTTCGACATTAAGGCTGCTGCTGAGAGGAGATTAATTCAGATGAATGAGTTGGATGAGATCAGATTCCATGCCTATGAGAACTCTAAGCTTTACAAGGAGCGAACAAAGGCATATCATGATAAGAAGATCCTCTCTAGAAACTTCGAACCCAATGATCAGGTACTTCTGTATAACTCTCGTTTGCAATTGTTTCCTGGTAAATTGCGTTCTCGTTGGTCAGGTCCTTTTACAATCAAGGATGTTAGACCATATGGCGCCATTGTCCTCCAGGGTAAAGATGGCCAGCCATTCACTGTTAATGGTCAAAGGGTGAAACATTATTGGGCGAAAGCCGAGATTCCGAACGGACACATTGTACGTTTGGATGATGCACCCTCAGCATAATCCGCTGCAAAGTCAAGCTATTGACTTAAAACGAGCGCTTAGTGGGAGGCAACCCTCTGGTAAGTTAGTTATTTTTTTTATTTATTTTGATTTTTGGTTTTAGGTATATAAAAAAATAAAACATAAAAAAAAAAATGTCTTCTGCGTTTTAGAATTTTTATTTTGGTTTTAGGAATTTATTTCATATTTTTAGGATTTTATTTTACATTTATTGGATTTATTTGGGCAATTTATGCTTAAAAGAAAAAAGCAGGCGAGTGCATTCCTTGGTGTCGATCGACACCTCATACGGGTGTCGCTCGACACCATTACTGACACGGACCGGATTTATCAAAACCGGAGCATTCTTCAGTTTTTCTTTTTTTTTTTTCAGAAACAACGAACGTCGAAATCAGAGCGAAAAACCTCGATTATTCTCTCATTTCACCACCAAATTCGACGATTTTGGTATGAATCTCTTCGTTTTTGAGAGATCTATCAAGCCCAGCAGTCCGTTTCTTCGATCTGCTCGATGGTTGGCTCCAAACGGCGAAAGAACAGTCGCGGCGGAGCTTCTTCCTCCACTGCTCCGCCAGCTCCGCCAGCTCCGGCGACTTATGAACTACCTCCGGCGAGCTCTCCTCTCCCTTCTCCAGCGTCTACACGTCCTCCTTGGCCAAGAGATGAAGGTATTCGAATCCCTTCTTCAATTGTTTGGGGAGTAAACCTTAAGAAAGCAGTAGAGAAGGATGAGTGTGTGTTTAGAGAAATTTCGGAACAATGGGATGAGTATGATACCTTGTTCTATAATGCCTGGTTGGGAATTGATATAAGGCCAACTCGATTCGTTGATAACATTGCGATGAGGATAATGGGGATTCAAAGGGACGTACTTCATCTTGTTCAGAAGATTGGTTTAGGAACTATCTGCTTGAAGCAATACGATCTTTATCCTGATTTGGTTCGTCAGTTTCTCGCCACAGCCCGTGTTTACTATGCGAACGAGGTCGTCAAGAACGCTTTGGAAGGTACTCTCACCTTCCTCATCTACAGAGTTCGTTATAGGCTACCTTTACGGGATCTCTGTGGCATTTATGGTTTTGAGAGAGACTTCATTGGAGTTGCGCTTCCAGCACAGTTCCCTGGTGCCCAGATTTTCTGGTTTCATTTTGGCAACAAGGCCTATGACTCCAAGACATCCACTCAGATAGATGTGCGGCATCCCGTTCTCAGGTACGTCACTCGTGCTATTGGGAACACTTTTCTGTGCAAGATGGAACCTGGGAAGATGAGACTTGCCGAGTTGATATTACTCTCCTATGCTGTTGGTGATTTGTGTGGAGACGAGTGCTGTTTGCCCATCAATGTTAATATGGGAGCTGTTTTTGCTCACCACTTGGTATCTCTGAAGACCAAGCCTTTCTCAGGGACAGGAAAGAAGACTGAGAGTGTTGGCAGTTTGTTGACCCCCATCTTTCAGCATTTTGGGATTCGCACAGAGGGTTGCAGCATTGTCACTACTCGTTCTCTAATGAACGAAGAGTATCTCAAACATGCGAAATGGATTAAGGACGATTGGCTTTGGTGTTTTAGTGACACAACTGGAGAGCATATGGTTCAGTTACCGGATCCCGAGCTCACAGCTATTGGTGAGGACCCGCATCAGTTGCTATTTGAGCCCGACCCGCGTCTCCTCATCACTCCTCAGCCTTCTCGACGTCGTCGAATTCCTCCTCTTCCTACTGCTGATCCTGGAGCTTCATCTTCTTCTGCACCAGCACAGTTCGGCACCAGCACAGTTTGAACTGCCACCACCACCAGATATTCCCATGGAGCAAGCTGCTTTCCAGAGATACATGGTTCAGAGTGTTCACCAGATATGGAACGCGATCGCTTCTCTCTCTCGTTGTGGATGTGTGCGCCCCACTCGTCGTCGTCCACGTTCCCGCTCTCCACCTGCTGATGATCAGGGTGATGAGGCTTAGTTCCTTAGCCTTTCCGGTTTAAGTTTTCTATTTCCTTTTTGAGTCATTTTTATTTCTGCTTTGAGTCAGTTTGTTATTTGCTTTCGCATTAAAATTTGTATGGCATTATTATCTATTTTGTTGCTTTTGACTTGTGTTTTAGTGTTCTTAACAGTGCTACATCAGAAATCCGAATGATAGAGAACACGAACAAACTGCAAACTTTCTGTTCTTTACCTGCCTGCTTTCCATCGCAGAGGGTGTCGATCGACACCACTTGTTAATGTCGTTCGCACCACGACCCAGACGGTGACTTTTCCTGAATTTTGCCCTTTTTCCATCCAATTTTCATTTGTTTTGTTTTTTTTTGCCAATCTTAGACTTGGCAACACTGGGGACAGTATTGTTTAAGTCTGGGGAGGTAGTTACTAACATTGTTTATTCTTTTGGAGTTTTATCGAGTCTGTTTTTAAAAAATAAGAAAAAAAACAAAAATTTCGTTTTATTGAGTCAGAACTTTTTGTAGGGAACAATGAACTCAGTATAAGGGTTTCTCTGATTTGGATTAACACTCTTATGATTACATTTCTATGCTTGATCTCAGAACCGAAGTTTGGAACGACTATGAGCTGTATCAACAATTCTGAAAGCCCTTATTCATTGGATATCCAGTTTATCTAACGTTGTCTCTACTTTTATCAGGACTTAATTGGACTTAGTCTCTTACCTTAAGAGTTGGAATACATTGGACTAGACTTCTTCTTCGAGCCGCACAAGACACTGCACTTCTTCAAAGTATGATTCCTTCCTTCTCTCTTCCCTTCAGCCTTTAAAAGAAACTGTGAAAAAGGCTATAGGTAGAAGTGATATGAGGGATGTCGCGTAAACCCGTGCATACTTCGGATCTCATGGATACCCGAATAAGAAAAAAAAAGAAAGTGTTATAAAAAAAACAGAAAAAAGGGAATCGTTGAAAAAATAAAATGATACCCTAGAAAAGTAGGGAGATGTCGATTACCTTAGATGTGAGAAAAGGGAGAAGAAGTGAAATCAAATGAAGAATGTCTTGGTTTGAGAAGAGTCCATATGCCATTGATCGATATTCCCTCGGTAAGAATTCACCTTTACTTGTGTTAACCTATGTAAAGAGATGACAATTGAGAGACTGGAGATTCCTAAGGATTGTGGGATTAGAGTAAGGAATGTTGATGCTTCTCATAAGCAAAGTACATAAAGTAAGCTCTGGAGTCAAGATGATGAAGAGTGCAAATAAGAGTTTCCTGCAGGTCGAGTTTCTGTCTTGCTTGAGGGCAAGCAAAGGCTAAGTCTGGGGGAGTTGATATATCATGGTTTTTACGGCTTTTAACCATGATATAAGTGCTTTTTATCGAGTCTTTCTATACTTTTTAAGGTCTTTTGGAGTCTTTTCAGGTGTAGGAGTTATTTCACAATGATTGGATCAAATGGAGTGATTTGGAGCTTATTGGAGCAAAGGAGCCGAGTAACCTGTCTTGGAGACGTTCTGTGAAGGAGTGTCGATCGACACCACCTACCAGTGTCGATCGACACCATGTGCCTGACGAGAGATTTCGAGTTTTTCCAAATTTTGAAGATTTACAAAAGTTGCTCAGAGTTTTCCCAAGTTGCAACATTGGTCCCTGACGTGTTTTGGACATATTTAAGTACTTTTTAGGTTTTAGAAACAAGGGGCTGAATTCTATTGCAAAACCTTGAGAGCTTCTGGAGAGAGAGAGATCAGAACTCCCTGTA